ACTCTTAAAAAACACCCAGGGATGAAGCACCCTCAACGTCTGGTGGCAAGCCCATCCACTCGTCGACTGTCCTCACGGTTAGGAAGTTTCAATTCCAGGTTGCTTCTCTGCTCGATGCATTTCCATCCGTTGTTTCTTGTCCTGCCTTCTGGGTTGTTCTGTGCCGTGGCTGGTGTCAGCTCTGATGGTGTCCATTCGCTGTGTTCTTTGGCCACCTGGTTTCCTTTGACACTTACCTAAATATAATTGCTTCCTCCAGCCAATTTCCTTGCAGCCAAGGTGAGGATGATGCAGTTTCATCATTTTTTGCCTTCTAGTGACATGTCTGCCGTTAACTGAATCATAGATATTTGATATAGGCCTTGTGCTGCGCAGTTGCGCGCCTTCCCATCCTCCCCTGCCATGAAAGTGCTCATGTTCTCCTCCCTTGACTAGTCAGCCGATGCTCGTGTCACACAACGTGCAGGAAGCTTCTCATCCGTGTCTCTTGAGATACACCCATCTTTTCCCCCACAGCAAGGGGTCCTGGGAAAAAAGCTCCACCATGTCGCCGAAACGCCAGATAATTAAAAATCCCGAACTGAGGTTGGCTATTGTCAAGAGGACGCCATTGTGTACAGTAACGAAGCAATTATGAATGAACAGCAGCACGGATGTCATTAATTCCAGCTTTTAAGGATCACAGCATAAGGCACGTTAAAAACGCTAAAACGCAGGCGGAGTGACGATGTGATTTATAAACGGGGAATGGCTGAGATGGGGTGGAGATGGGCCAGGCGAAACAGTTGGGAGGGTGCAAAAATTGCAGACTACAGGAACCATTTGCATCACTCAGGTGGCCCCGAGGAAACAGACAAACCTCCAAGCGGCCTCAACGACCCTCGCAAAGGATGCAAATGACCAGCTGTCTTGCAAGGAGTATCAATCCTTCCATTCCCCGCTATCCTGTCAGAGCCGAAGAAGCTTCTTGAATGGGGAGCGAAACGTCCTCAAAAGAAAAAAGCAAGGAAATCCGGTTGCCTCCTGAAGAAAAAGGACCTTTCAGACAACCAGGAGACCTGGATGACAGAGAATCTCTGCACAGTTGTGAGGAAACTTCTCTTCCTGGGTGGCTTCGAGGAGATGGTGACACAACCCTCGTTGGAGGATGCTAAACCCAGATTGTCAAACAAACTTGGCTTAAGTTTTTATTTCTTTTTTCTTTTTAAACTGTTGTTGTTTACTAATAACTCAAAACAGAGAATCCACTTTTTTTTTCCCTCCTATTTTTGCCACAACCACCACCCAGGGAGATAGATTGTGCCGTGAGAGAGCAATAAGATGGTTTTTGGGCCTAAGGCAGGACTAGAGCTCACCCTCTCCTGGTGATTGGGCCAGAGCCACCCAGCTGTCTTTGAACTCTCCCTAATTCCTCAAACGTCACCATAACTTGCTAGAGTTTAACATAGCGGCAATAACGTACTCGTCGTTTGCAGTGGAGTTTTGTTTCATTTTGTGGGGTTTAAGATGTGGTGAGAATTAAGGGGTTGCTTACCTACATATTAAGGGTACCCTGTTCCTTCTTCCTGAGGAAGAAATGGATGCACTCGACTGCTTTTGTGGTCTAGGGCAAGGGTCTTCCAACTTGGCACGTTTTAAGACTTGTGGGCTTTCAACTCCCAGAATTCCTGAGCTGACATGACTGGAGGAGGAGGAGTTCTGGGAGTTGAAGTCCACAAGTCTTTAAAGCGGTCAAGTTTGAAGGCCCCCTGCTCTAAGGTCAAGACTTGTGGAGAAAGTCCCAGGTGTATTTTCAGCACCATGGACAGAGGCACAACCTAGAGATACAGGAAACGTGGATGCAATGAGACTAACAGCCGCAGAACTACAAAATGTACACACAGTCCTCAAATACAAAATATACCCCCCAAAAAAATCAAAAATGTTTTCCCCCCATCCCACCCCCCAAAATAAAACTCTTTTCTTCCGCCACCTTTTCCTTCTTCTAAGCTTATTCATCAAGGCCCCTTCCACACCGAGTTATATTTTGCATCTCTGTTCTCCCGCGCGGGGTTCAGGCGTCACCAGCCAGGAGTGCTGAGGACTAGCTACTTGCTGAATCCCAACACAAATGAGGACAGCAAAACGGAGCTCTGGAGGTGAGGATGCCCACATAATCATAAAGGACTGGTTTGAAGTCACTTTTTTTTACAGTGCCTTTGTAACGCAACGGTGACTAAACGAATGGTGATATGTCAAGGAACACTTGTATAATTCTTTTTAAAAAATGCATTCAGAACTCCCAGCTCTCTCTCTCTTTCTCTTTCACTTAATTAAGGGGAGGAAAGGGCGGGAGGGAGAAAGATAGTCCACAAAGTGCTTTTTGGAAGACGGGAGAACGTCTTCCAGGAGATGTCCAGCTCCCTGTCAATCTGGGCCTTTTCCAATTTATAGCCTAAACACCTTCATTTGGAGAAGTGCCTGCCACTCAAGCTGCCCGGCGCCAGATTCCGTTCAAATTAATAGCAACTCTTCCCTTTCATTATGATGATTAAAAGGACGTGGGCGAAGGAAGGTTGAAGCCTGCGCCTGTCGTGGCTTAAAAGCTTGGGAGACGTGAGCAAAAGATCACTTCGCTTTCCCTTGTCTGTTTTGTGATGACAAATTGGGGGAAACATAGGATGAAACAAGGGCTGCAGGCATTGGGTAGGTCTAGTCTTAGTGAAAAGAAGGACCAAGGTTTGACATAATAGCAGTCTTCTAATATTTGAGGGGCTGCCCTAATGAAGAGGGGGGGGCAAACTATTTCCCAAAGCCCCAGAAGGCAGGACAAGAGGCAACAGATGGAAACTCATCAAGGAGAGAAACAACCTAGGAGAAATTTCCTGAGAACCATTAACCAGTGAAACAATTTGCCTCCACAAGTTGTGGATGCTCCAACACTGTTTTTAAGAAGAGACTGGACGGCCACTTGTCTAGACTGGTATAATATCTCCTGCTTGAGCCGGGAATTGGACTAGATGACCTCCGAGGTCCCTTCCAGCTCTGTTATTCTGAAAAGCTGGACACCCTTGTTCAGAACAATAAAAAACAAGCTACTTATATTACCGTGATTAAAATAAACCAAGAGGGGGAGGAAACTAAGAAGGAAAGTGGAGAAAAAGTA